TTACTGTGATATCCACAACACCTATGAGTTTCACTTATGTAGCTGTATAGATCATAGCTCAAGCTCATGATAAAGAGAAATAATAGTGTCCCAGGAGCCAGGCTGACTCAAATTTCTTTAATTTTGATGCTAAAAGACACAGTCACAAGTTTCTGTGTGCATCATTAACTAAAACAAACTTTTAAAACTGTTTCAGGTTAAATCATATGTTTTGATAACAGTCTTATGATGAAAAGCCCCAGAAAATAATATAATGTTCACAAGGACACAGAGCTGAGTTGCAGATTCACTAGGTTAGGCTCAAAAACACAAGGCAGCCCAACTGTTGCTAGCTAACACACTTTTCTGGCTGGAGTTGGTTGGTAAGCAAAGGTGATGGTTAACTCCTTATACTCATTCCTGCCCTCGATGTCCTGATGTAAGAAACTATCGTTGGGTGGGTATGCACCCTAAAGATTTAAAGTGCAACTGACTGGTTTTTCACGTATAAAAGTTTAGGTTTGTGATTCCTTTAAGATTCCTTATAAAATTGTCCATCAAGATAAATAATAGAATGATTGTTGCTTTCTTTGTAATCACATTGTGCAGCCTGCAAAGAAAAGAGTTGGCTGAGATAAAATACTTTCTGCTTGCTCCTGTTCTGTTAATCTAACAAGGTACTTAGATGTAAATGAAAGTGGGATACCAGAATGGCTTTGTTTTCAATCATGTAAAGGTGATGAAAAACATGGTTTTACCTGTATTTCTTATAATCATTCAACTGAAATATGGAATGTAACCACATTGTTATTCCTATATTGCCTGAGAAAACTATTTTGGTTTATGTAAGTCACAGAAAAATGTATACAATAGAAATAGAGAATAAAGAAGGAAACCATCAAGAGAGTGTGCGTCTTTCTCCCTAGTCCCCTTGAATAGATAAATTTTAGGTCATGCTGATGCCATGGTTTCATTTGGAGCCCTGCGTTTTGGGAGACTGGATCCCAGGCATCAATAATAGAGTTTATTAAGAAAAATTAAAGTGTTATTGTGACACTGTAGAATGATGGTGATTTCTAGTCCTATTAGTAGCTTTGATGGTCCAACTCCTCTTTGTGTCTCTACTACTGGCCAAAAGAATGTTGTCATTAAGACTCAGTCTTTGTAGCAGACACATCATGACTAAAGCCCACAAAACCATCTTACATCAACACAGATGCCTAGAAGAGATATCAGCTTCTTGAGCCACCAGAGAAAATTCCAAGAAACATAGGCCAAGGTAGCTTCTTTATTAATAAGACATATTCACTGCATGCAGAGGGGAATCCCACATCGTTAGTGATTGATGGAGAGGATCCAGCCACTGAAAGTTGTGCTGCCCCTGAGCTGATGATCCTGGGTTTTATAAGAAGGTTAATTAAGCAAGCCATGAGGAGAAAGCCATAAGCAGCAGCCCTCCATGGCTTCTGCATTATCTCCAGCCTCCAAGATCCTGCCCTGACATCCCTGGATGATGAACTGTAAAGTGGGAATACAAACAAAATAAACCCTTTCCTCCTCATGATGCTTTCATTCATGCCTTTTCACACATAAAATATATTCATTCCATACCAATAAGCCCCAAGTTTCATTTTGCTGACAATGCTTCATACAACCATTTATGTTGTAGACTTTATTATGCATCATTAATTTAGGAAAATATAAACTGGTAAAAACTTGTATACTTCATGTATATGGATGATGAAAGGTTGCACACATGTCTATGACTTAGATGAGAATTCATCTTTCCCTTGTCATAACTTGTTCTTATCCTGATACCTACAAAAGAATTGATGACAAATGAAGAAATGACAGGTTATGTAGACTCATCTCCAGACGAATAACAGGGAGACATTGAGAGAGAACCATGTAAACAACACTGGCATCTATAGAACCTTTCATATTACAGAGGCATTATAGGACAAAATTGACTGGAGAGGTAGCTCAGATAGTAGAATGCTTGCCTAACGTGCAGAGTTCCAGATTTAATCTTTAGCATTACATTAACTTAGTGTGGTAGCATTAAATTTCAGAAGCATTATAGGACAAAATTAGCTGAGGATGTGCCTAAGTTGGTAGTCTACCTAGAATTCATGAAGTTCTGAGTTTCATCCTAAACATGGCATTAAGTGGTTGTGATGGCACATTCATACAATCCCATCACTCTGAAAATGGTACTGAAACTTAATATTATTTTAAATACAGAGTTATCGCACTTTCAGAAATAAAGACTTTCCCCAAATATTTTCCACAAAAGAAATTTCAATTATCCAGAACCCCAAACCATCAACATCATCATGACTCAGTGACTAAGGATGAGTCCACACAGGGTCCTCCTGATAGATCAGCAGGTCATCAGGCTAATCTTGAACCATAATTGTTTCCCTCTTTTAGAGACAATGTCTAATGTAGACCTTATTAAGTTTGGACTAACCTTGTATTCAAGGATGAGCCAGTGGTGGGGCACATGCCTTTAATCTCAGCATGAAGAAGGCAGGGCCAGGTGGATCCCATTGAATTCCAGCCAAACCTGAGCCACAAAGTGAGTTCTAGGATACATAGTGAGACCATGTCTCAAAACTAGTGAAAGTATAAATTTGTGCAATTCTCATACTGTGGATTATCATCAACAATGACACATCTAGAAAGTCACTAGATAGTCCTCAGGCTGTGACTGCTAACTTCCAAATTTTGTCTGAATACCTAGAAGTCAGAGGTATCAACACAGCAATACCCTGGAGAAAACAGAATAAAGTGACTACAACCAAGAGCACAGTCCTGCAACTAAGGCTTAGAGGTCATTGTGGAAAAGAAGGGGAAACAGGATGGGACTTCCAGCTGCTCTGGATTACTATTTGACAACCTGGAGCGAGGCACCCAATCTGTCAAATGAGGCAGCTGGGAAAGAAACACAAATGGCGCCCAGAGCTGCCATAGTGAACCAAGTGGAGGAGCAGATGGTGGCAGGCAATGATGGTTGGCTAGATGGATGATCAAAGTGGCAGCAGGAACCAGAAGGCAGGGGTGGAGAACCCTGCCCAATGCGGCTTCTGGGGGAGGTGATCAGGAACTGATGGAAGTTCTTTGGAGAGTTCGAGTATCAGCTTCTCTGCCACTGCATAGGTGGGTATACACTGACCTGATTGTAAACTAGTTTTCTTCCATCTAGATTTTGAGACCTCTTCTCTGATTGGTTCCATTTTTTACTTTATTTGAAAACATATACATTCAGTCAATCAGAAACCAGATAGCCCTATAAATTTGGGTTAGGTGACCTCTGGAGGGGTAAAGTCATTGAATGGTCAGAGAGGGAGGATTCCATACCCTACATTCTGGCCAAAGCCTGGCTTTTGGGCAGGTTCCTGGCTCCTGGCTGAGGGCTGAGTTTCCAGATGCTCTATTAAGAAGAAACAGTGTGCTGAAGACTCACAGAGACAGACAAGTCAGAGGGTTGCTGTTCTGAAGCATCTGTCTCAAACAGAGAGCCTTCTTGGGATCCCACCACTTCAACCTGTGGGACATGAACTGTGAACACAGGCTGTGGAGCACATTCCTGCCTCTGCGTCTGAGATTCTGTCCCTTAGCTGAAGATGAGAATTCATTCCTGAGGCTGGCTCTAGCCCTTGAGACTTACCCAGGGACAGAAGACCAGGTGTGCAGAGATATGATGTTCACAGTGTCTCATGGTGGGTGTCCTTCGACCACCATGGGGTCTCAGTGTTTATTTTCTCCTTTAAGTCCTTGTTCCCACAAGGTAAATAAAGTTCCCTTGTTGTCCAGTTATTGTCTGCTCACTCCATCCTTAGGAAGAGAATTGACCACCTCACAACCTACAAAAAACATCCTTACATTTTAAACAAAGAGTTTAAACAAAGAGTTTGGAAGGCAGAGGTTTATCAAAGCATATAAGTTGGTAGCCCACTCTAAACAATTCTATCATCTTCAAAGTTCGTGCCACTGGATGATGCAGGAAAGTTGGTAGAAACATGAACAATGCTGGACTTTGTTTCTGAAATGAGAAGTCTCATTTATACCATGCTGGCCTTGAATTTGCTTTGTAGCCAAAAATGATATTGAACTGATCCTCAACTGGTCCTCCTGCCTCCACCTGCTGGAATGACAGGTGGGCCCCAGCACCAAGTCTATGATGAGCTCGGTATTGAACCTGGGGCTTCACACGTGCTGAGCAAGCACTCTCCCATTGGAGCTACAAACCCCTTCCTTAAAACTCTATTTTAAATAATCAGTAAGTTGACAAGTGTACATGGGAGCAAGCATTCCAAATTACAGGACACATCTCAAATTAGAGAAAACTTCACTAATAAATTTCCAAAATGCTGAAATTGAAAGTGTGTGCCATGGCACACAGAAACGAAGTCATTTCTTCGTTTTAATTTAAGGGGCCAAAGTGTTTTTTTTTAAATATGTAAAGTTCCATTTACCATTCTTTTCATGGATTATCACCAGTAACAAAACTGAATGTCTTCCCTACTATTGTCTTTTAAAAATATTATGATGATGGAATGGCCCAGGCGGCCTGCAAGCCAGGCAGAGGCTGCCGCCAGGGCAGTGCAGGGTCCCCGGGCGAGCGGCAGAGTCAGGCGGCTGGATATGGTGGACGGCAGAGTAAATGGACACAAGGCTATACATAAAGCTAAACATTTATTACTTAAAGAAAGGGAGACATAGACAAACATAGAGAGAGACAGAAAACACGTGTGCACACGGCAAGAGCCGTGTGCACACGGCAAGAGACGTGTGCACACGGCAAGAGACAGGAAAGAAGAAAGTCAAGATGGCGACGAGGTCAGAAGTGGCTGGGGGGTGGGCATGGCTAGCTCTTAAAGTGATCGCAAAGGAATAACATTCCCGAATCCTTTTTATAATAAAAAGTAGAAGGTTAGACATTACAGTTTGAAGGAATTGGGGCGGCGAATTCTCAAGACTGCTTCCGGCTGATTTGTGGGCGTCATCTTTGGGGGGGGTGAGGGAGATCCGAGAGAAGCTGGGTGCTGTTTACATCCTGGCATAACTGGTCTCTGTTCCCGACAGGACAGGTGTCTGTGGCATGGAAATGTCTGGTGTCCCTTGTACCTGGTTAGGGTGTTGGCAAAACAGAGGACAAAGTTAAATTGAGAAAAAAAAATTTTAGGACCAGGGAATTGAGAGGTTTGTATCTGGCCTGTTTATGATGGGTTCTTTAATTTGGCTCCCTGGAACTCATAAGAAAAACAGAAGTTTTAGACATATATACTGTATCAAAAACTCCTTGAGTTTGTAAAAACAGAAATTATAATGAAAAGTATTTCTATTTGGTGAGACAATCTGACAAAACCTCTCAGCTATCAGATTGTCAGAGATCTTTGAGAAGGATAAGATTTTACTTGAGTTACTGATTAAAAAATGACAGAGAACTTACTTGGTTGGCACCCAGAGCTACTCTTTTTGGGTCCTCCCTGGTCACTGAAGGTTGCATTTGACCTTGTTGTTTAATGCAGAGCCTGCCAGGCTTTAGAAGACCCTGTGGGCTAAGAAATTTTTGGGAAGACAGGCCTACCTTGACCTGGGCACCTAGGCTGTCGATTCCAGTGATTTTGTCCACGTTTGGAGGTCTCCAGTTTAGGTGAAAGGCAGTCTTTGCCCAATGGTCAGAACTTGGCAGTCGAAGCAAACTGCAGATGAACGTTGGTCTTTGACGGTTTGTCTTCTGTCTTCTCGGAGGAAACAGAGTGCTTGCTAGGAGCCAACCTGTCTCTTTTTGTTATGGAAAGTTTTTTAAATAATTAAATATCACATTCCCCAGATCTCTGAGCAGTTGAGGGTTGATTATTAGGTATAACTGCAGGATAGAATCTGTCTGGAAGGTTGGGTCTGAGTTTGACTGTACTGACTCTTAACAGGTAAGATCCACATTTGTAAAAAGACAGACAGAAAGAAAAAAACTGTTTGTAACATTAAGATTAGTGGCAGAACTGACAATGGTAGAAAACAGCTTAAAAGTACATACCAGTTTAAAATGTGAGACTTATGATTTTGTAGTCTGAAACGAGATGAAATGAACAATCATTATATATAGAAAGATTGAACAGGAATTAGGCAGAGTGCATGCTTCTGATGGGCCCTATCAGAAAGCATGTCAGTATGTAAGACACCTGTAATCAGAGTTAACGAGATCACCGAGGAGGGGGAGAGGAAAGGCAGGACATATATGAGAATGAGAGAGCTTGGTTGAGTGATCTGGCTCTCAGTGAATCTAGTGATAAAGTCACCTGACCCCAGTGAACATGGCGGTGACCACGTGTTGTGGCTTGAATGGAAGACCACGGGAATTTTAAAAGCCACGGGCTGTCTGGTTGTTGAATCGTGAAAAACCTGCATAATCCTGCAAAAACCGTGGCATCTCAAGCCTATGGGGAATGGCTCCCCACTTGAGATGCAAGTGAACATTCAGATATGTGCCCAGGCGTCCGAGGCACACATGGGGGATGCTAAAGACCGAACTGGATCAGCCAATTATGTCCGTGAGAAAGATAGGAAGGAAGAAAAGCCTGAAATAAAGAGGAAGGAGGCTGGGAACCCCGGGTTCCCAGTGCGGAAATGGTGGGAGCTGGCCAAGCCAGCTGTCCCAGTCACAGGCTTAACAGAGGACACAAGCCGTAATGAATGCCAGCGAGGGGGCGGAGAAGTACCCCCCGAGCCCAGAAACACCGGGAGGACCAGTCAATCCTGGGATAAAAAGGCTCAGATCAGCTGGCTGGAGTGAGGAAACTTACAATTAGAAGCCAGTGTCGTTTGTAGGAATGAGTTCAGGCAGTTGGCGGTGTTGAGAAGCCCTTGGTCCCAATTCAATCCCGGAAGTTGGTGGTCAGAGTCCCGGACGAAAGGTGAAGCTGGGACTCTGGCCCTTGGCAGGTGAATCTCTCGAGTCCACGGCACCAAATATTGTTCTTTAAAAAAAATATGATAATGGGATGGCCCGGGCGGCCTGTGAGCCAGGCAGAGGCTGCTGCCAGGGCAGTGCAGGGTCCCCGGGAGAGCGGCAGAGTCAGGCGGCTGGATGCGGTGGACGGAAGAGTAAATGGACATAAGGCTATACATAAAGCTAAACATTTATTACTTAAAGAAAGGGAGACATAGACAAACAGAGAAAGACAGAAAACACGTGTGCACACGGCAAGAAACGGACAGGAAAGAAGAAAACCAAGATGGCAACAAGGTCAGAAGTGGCTGGGGGTGGGCGTGGCTAGCTCTTAAAGTGATCGCAAAGGAATAACACCTACACCCAACTGCAAATGTTGGACACTTCTAGAAGTTTTATAGTTTGGATATATTTTGGTTTGTGATGCATTGTGAGTCAATATTTGTACATGGTAACGTGATGGACAGGTGTTCCTTCTTTTGCATAGTCATATCCAATCTATCAGCAATATGTTTGAAAATGTAATTTCTCCTCCAGATTACATTTGTGACTGTTAAAAAATCATTTTAATGTATGTGCCGGTCAATGTCTTTCATTGAAGTGAGGATGTCAAGGATTGAGCAAGGGTGTTCAGAACATTTTAACAAAAGCATGATGCAGATTAAAACCAGGCATCTCATGGCCTCAGTTAGCAAAGAGGAAGAAGAGACTGGACTCTCACTGCTCACTCACAGTGGGCAGCAACAAACATGAAGCCCTCCGACTGAGCCCCACCTCTTAAAGGTCCCATCACCTCCCAGGATCACCACACCACTGACAAAGCCTTTAATAGACAGCCTGTGTAGCTATTTCCTATGACGTGAAACATTCTCTCCTGGAAAGAGGAAGGAAACAGAGAAATCTATGAAAACACAAGGCTCAAAAAAGTCAAAAAGTTACAAAACTCACAAATGCATCTCTGAAGGATGGAAGCAATGAGCAACGCTGATGGGGAGGGAGATACTCTCCAGTGCAGCTGCCTGCAAGCTGTGCATGGAGTGCCAAGGAGGCAGCTTAAATGAGCCATTGCCTATGCTGGGGTGGGTTTGGGGGTAATGCCACTGTCTTTCAGTTACATGTGCTCTTGTGAGCAACCCCCAATAAGATCATTGGCTCACCAAGCTACAAGGTTAAAAAATGTTGTTCATGTGGTGCCAATAGACATCTGCTCATGACTCCCTAGAAGAAGGCTCACAACAAAGGGGACAACTCCAGAATACACTATAGCCAGCAGGAAGCAGTGTCCTCTGCAGAGTCCTATAGACATCTCCCAGCAGAGGGATGAGATTTCTTCATTGTTCACTGTAGAACTTATTGGGTCTCTGGTGTAGTTATAATGAGCAGTATTGTGGAAATCTAGTAGAGTCATTGTGTCTAAGGTAATGTTAGAATGTAACAGTTGTTTCTCACTGTATCTAATAACAACAGAAAGTAATAGTTGGAGGTACTTAGACCTTGAAAAATGTCATAGTAGAGAACAGTGATTGTTTTCTTGCTTTTCAGAGTTGTTTTTCTGAAGGGGTTTTCCATCTGTTGCATGACCGTTGGTCACAAGACCATCCTGGCACACCTGAGGTGTCTTGAATTATTGGGTCCTACAAAGAGTACATGATAAAGACTAAAGTTGATGGTTTCCTTCAGAGAACATGCAGAAGAGATCAAGGGAGTTTTGATATTAGGAACTTGTTTTACCCATAAAACAACCTTTGTGTAACAATCAATAAAGATACTTTCAAACAGTGGTTCAAAGTTCGGTCCACCAGAGGCTGACCTTCCTGATGCTAAAGAGCCTATTTGCCTTCTAGAGTGACTCACCTTCTTTGAAAGTCCCACACAACACAGAATATCAATACATGCATGAAAATTGCTTTTATCTACAGCCTAACATTTTAATTTGTATCTAATGATTACAGACATTGTTGGGTCTAAAAGCAATTTATTTATCTCTTGTGGTTTTTCCCCCTTTCCTTTTACCCTGTCTTCTTTTGGATTAAGTTTTTTTGTGATTTATTTTGTGACCTAGTATACTAACCAAAGTCCTTGTTATGTTGGCATTGTTACTCCTTTAAGGTACAAAGTATAAGCCTTCAACTTATCACATGTCTATATGGCTCTATTTGGCTTACTAGCTGCTTGCTCTTTTCATTGCTATGGGGTTCATATATACACATTGAACTTATCACAACCGGTGTTCTAGTGATGTTGTATCACCCCACATGACATATGAGAACCCTACTCTAGAAGAGAACATCCTGAATTCTCGGCTATTCAGTTCATACATATTATAAACTTCACACAGAGACAGGGCCATAAAGATGGCTCAGAGTTTAAGAGCACTTGCTGATCTTCTAAAGGACCTGAATTTTATTCCCAGCAACCTTGTGTCTCACAACTGCTTCTAACTCCAGTCCCAGGGGACCTGATAGCATGCATGTGCCACACAGACTTACATGCAGGCAAGCATTCATACACGTATAATTGAAGGCTTCTAAAAACCAGACTTATCCATTCATAAGTGCATCTCTCACCCCTCATCAAAGAAGCTCCTTTTTACAATAATCCAAGATCATTACAGAAAGACAAAACTAGTCAAATGAAGAGATCAGCTCACTGTGGACTGCCTGTTCCCAGTAAATAAACTTACAAAATAACCAAACAAATTCCCTAAGGCTCCAGAAGCATCACAGAAACATTGTAAGAGTCAGAGAAGAAGACAGCTGCTTCAAGAAAGTGACTTCTAGAAGAAGCAGAGGAAGAGGAGAGAGGAAACCAATTTGAGGTTTCATCTTACCACAGCAGGAATAGCTGAAATTAATAAAGCAGATGACAGCAGACGCTGGCAAGGATTCAGGATCTGAGGTAGACTACTCATGGCTGATGGGAGTGTAAACTGACACAGCCACTATGGGAATCATTGTGGAGGTTCCTCAATAAGCTGAAAGTAGATCTGCCACAAGACTCCAGCTACACCACTGTTGGGCATGTCCCCAGGACACAACATTTTACTACAGAGATACTTGCTCATCAAGTCCATTGCTGATTTATTCATAATAGCCGGAAGTTGGAAATAGCCAAGGTGCCCATCGAGCAATGAGTGGGTAATGAAAATACGGTTCATTTACAATGGAGTGGTATTTGGCTGTAGAGAAACATGAAACTACAAAATGATCAGGATATGGAGCTAGAAATGATCATTCAGCGCAAGGCAATGCAGGCCCAGAAAGACATTGCATGTTTTCTCTTCTATGTGGCTTTTACACTTTCAATATGGGTGTTTCATTTAGAACATCCACAGAGGTTAAGCAACTGGTAAGGGACAGGGTGGGGGGTCTTTCAGGGATGGGACATAGCACATGGTGCCATGAGAAGTAAATGGGAATTAGAACAAGAGGATTAAATGGGGAAGGGGTGACAGCACAGAGTAGAGGGGGAATGAGAGGAAGGATAACTAACACTGAAGTTTCTTTTGAAAAGACACGTAGAATCCTACTACTGTGGAAGTGTCCTAAAATATATACATGGATTAAAGGAATTTAAATGGCATTGCCATATAAGGAGGAAGACAACACCCAAACAGGCATCATATGCCACCCTTAAAACCCCCAGACCAAGAAGAGGCTTTCACTTCTTCTTACACTGACCCAACG